TCATTATAAGCTTTTGTGATCGATCGTCTTGGTTTAAAAAAAAACGTTTTTTTAAAGTTCCTGTTATCCTTTGTTGATTGATAACATGGTTTTGTGGTTTTGTTAGTAAAAAAGGATTAAAATTATGAAGGAATCAAAGGTAGATATTGATTTACAAAGTGGGCATTTACGACCACGCTAAGGATAGCACACGTGTGACTATATGAACGTTTTTCTCGAATTTCTAAAAATGGTTTTGTGAAGCCCTAGTTGAACACTTTTCTATTGATAAAAGGTTTTCTGTAAACGTTTTAGTGATGTAAAATAATGAAGTGAGACGGAACTTTTGAGGCAATTTTTCTTAGAACATGGCGTACACAACCACGTCCAGCATTAAGAGAAGCAGTCAAAGCAGAAGGGTTATTACAGATCACTGTCTCAAATCTGGGACTCTGAAATGCTATTACATCATGTTTCAGTAACACTTTAATATTTTGTTGCTTATATTTTCAGTAATGGCTTCCCCTGTTACCCTGTCATAAAGGCTATTTTGTAGAGTTTTCCCTATATTGTTGACTAATGCAAATTTGCACCGATCTCACAGTGCTATCAAAGTTGTGTGATGTAGAAAGATGCACCATCCAGTTCTTGATGATTGTTATATAGTGCTCAAAGGAAATTCAGAAAGTTTGATACTTTTGTACTCTTTTCCAGATCTGTGCTTTTCAATGACTTTATCCCAGACTTGCTTTTGAAAGCTCCTTTGTCTTTATGGTTGAGTCTTTGAAACTCAGTACCTGCCCAAAGAAGCTCAGTAAGACAGTTATACTGAAGTTATAAGAACCACAGTTATTGCACACAGAGGCAATTGTGGCAAGTTAAGTTAATTTTATGCACCTAAATTAATTTAATTAATTAAGTAACGTTAACCACAGCAAAGGGTTTGAATACTAATGCAATCATTAACTTTCCATTTTCCTTTCATATAAACTATTAACTTTTTGCTTTGAATGTATGGAGTACATTATATACAGGTCACATACTAATTACGGCTTAAAATTGTCATGATTGCAATCTATAAAGCAACAAAATGAGAAAACCGTGCAAGGGCCTGAATACTATTGCAAGGCACTGTACTTAAAGCTACAGTATAATCATATAATACTATCAACTATAAATTAGGGATGTCTTCTTGATTGATAGTGTTCACAAAAACAACAACTTAAAGATGGATTGCAGATAGTGTTTATTATTTTCATTGCTTAGGTACGAACCTTTTGCATATCACTTTTATTAAAATAAACACTTCATAGCTCCCTGTGTTATTTACATTTGTCTGTAATTCACATGGCAAACATTAAATTAGTACATATTTGTGTTTAATCTCCATTCTGTTAGATCTTAAGTATTGTTATTGCTGGAATGCTGCATTTCAACTTCTGCCAGTTAGGACGTCAATGGTGAAAGCCTAAACCTTACCACCAAGAACATTATGTTTATTAAGTTATAAAAAGTGCTAAATTCCCTTTGTGGCTTACAACAAATATTGTAGTATTAGCAACGAAACATGTAATTGGTGACTTGAGATTTACAGTAATTTATATAAAAATGAAAAAACAGAGAGTTTACAATCTGGAAGTGATTTAAACTCTAGACCAAAGTAGTAGCATCTTGATGTGGTTTTAGCTGAAAAGAGTTTCATTAGGAATGCAAGCCATAACTGCTACAGAATGAACACTACGAAAGTAAGCTAACCTTTTTTATCTAATACATTGGCAATTTAGAGTAAACGTTTCACTGAGCCATTAAACTAATTTGAAAAATTTGCTTTATTCGATTTTTCTCAACCAGAAAATGATTAGAAAAGTTTAGAAAAATAAAATGGAAATTTCTCTGATTAGGGCACTCTAATTTTGTATGTTGGAACTTAAGTTTAGGATTTTGAATTATAACACAGTGGTTAAAGTGCTACATTAAGTGCTATGTGGACCCTATAGCTCTTTCAATATCAAATGTAAGAATCACAGGAAATTATTTAACATAAAAACGTCTAGGAAAAAAAACGGAACCTTTACTAAGGAGTAGTATAACAATTCCATAACAACTATATTACAGTTTAAAATAAACCCAAAGAATAAGAAACTACATAGCTGGAATTCTCTGCTTCATGCATGTTTAAGCTTTATTTTACTTGCTTCATAATGCTGTATTTTTATAGGGTACCTACACACTTAATTTTTTTTATACCCATAAACCAGATCTGTAAGTTGGTTTAAAGCTATTTCAGGGGACTTTAACCACGTCTCTATTTCCACCACTTTGCCTACTTTCCACTAATTTGGTAAGTGCCCAACCAGAGAAAACAAAACACTGGACTTATTATATGGCAATGCTAAGGATGCATATAGTTCCACAGCCCGTCCCCACCTTGGCAGATCAGATCACAACCTTGTCTTGCTTACACCACTATACAAGCCTATTGTACAGCGCCAACCTGCAACAATGAGGACTGTGAGGAGATGGTCTCAGGAGGCTATGGAGGATCTACGTGGTGCTCTGGAGGCTACCGACTGGGATGTGCTGTGTGAACCACATGGGGACGACATAGACAACATGGTGGATTGTGTCACTGACTACATAAACTTCTGCGTAGACAACACCATCCCCACCAAAGAAGTACACTGTTTTTCCAATAACAAACCCTGGATCTCCAGTAACCTGAAAGCTCTTTTGAATGACAAGAAGAGAGCCTTTAGGAGGGGGGATAAGGAAGAGGTCAAGCGTGTACAGAGGGAACTAAAGCAGAAGTTAAGAGAGAGCAAGGACGCCTACAGGCGGAAGGTAGAGGACAAGCTGCAAAGGAATAGGGTGAGGGATGTATGGACCTGCATGAGAGAGATCACTGGCTTCAAACAGGCCGGGGGTGCAATGGAGGGGAACCTGGAGATAGCCAACGAGTTGAACCAGTTTTTTAACAGGTTTGATTCAGGGTCCTCTGTGGCTCGACACCCATCCCCCCACAGCCACACGCTACCTAACCCTTCACAGCTGCGACTGCCCAACACCTCCTCCATCCCCCCACAATCATGGCCGCCTACAGCTACAACCCCCGACAGCTACTCACCTCCCCCATCCCCCACAGCTGCTACTCTCCAACACCTCCGCCATTAACACCTGCAGCACTGAAAGCACTATGAGCACCATCCCCCAGGCCAGGCTGACCATCACAGCTGACCAGGTGAAGAGGGAGCTGAAGAGGCTGCACCAGGGTAAGGCCACAGGACCAGACGACATCTGTCCCAGAGTTCTGAGGGCTTGTGCTGATCAGCTAAGTGCTCTAGCGACTGTTCAACCTGAGCCTGCGCTTGGAGAAAGTCCCTGTGCTCTGGAAGACATCATGCCTGGTCCCAGTACCAAAGAAAGGGCGCCCCTCTGTCCTCAATGACTACAGACCAGTTGCACTGACTTCTCACATCATGAAGACACTGGAGACGCTGGTCTTATCCCACCCGAGACCCCTGGTTAGCTCATCACTGGACACCCTTTGCCTACCAGCCCAGTGTTGGTGTGGAGGATGCAATCATCTACATGCTGCAAAGGGCCTACTCACACCTGGACAAGGCTGGCAACACCATAAGGATTATGTTTTTCGACTTCTCCAGTGCCTTCAATACCATCCAGCCCTTACATCTAAGGAGGAAGCTGGAGGAGATGCAAGTCGATGCCTGTATGATATCGTGAATCACTGACTTCCTGACAGGCAGACCACAGTCTGTGAGACTTCAAAACTGTGTGTCTGAACAGGTAGTAAGTAACACAGGGGCTCCTCAGGGGACGGTTCTTTCTCCGTTCCTCTTCACCCTCTATACCTCAGACTTTAAATACAACTCAAAGTCATGCCACCTGCAGAAGTTCTCAGATGACTCTGCAATTGTGGGATGTATCAAGGGTGGGCAGGAGGAAGAGTACAGAGGACTGGTCAGCAGCTTTGTGGAGTGGTGTGGGGAGAACCTCCTGCAATTGAATGTAGCAAAGACTAAGGAGTTGGTGATAGACTTCAGGAGGAAGAGGGTCCAACCTACTCCTGTCTACATCCATGGGAGTGGCGTGGAGATGGTGGACTCATACTGGGAGTGCACATCTACGATAGACTGGAATGGTCTAAGAACATCAAGGCCATTAACAAGAAGGGTCAGAGCCGACTTTACTTCTTGAGGAGGCTCAGGTCCTTCAATGTGTGTAGTAAAATGCTACATATGTTCCATCAGTCGATGGTGGCGAGCGCCATATTCTACGCGGTGGTATGCTGGGGCTCTGGGATTAGAGCAGTGGATTCCAACAGGCTGAACAAGCTCATCAGGAGAGCAAGCTCTGGCATTGGGTCTGGCCTGGACCCCCTGGAGGTAGTGGCTGAGAGGAGAATGGTGTCCAAACTAGAGACCATCATGGACAACGTCTCCCATCCCCTCTATGACATGCTTGTAGAAATGAAGAGCACATTCAGCAATAGACTGATTCATCCATGGTGCGACAGGGAGCGCTACAGGAGGTCGTTCTGGCCTTCTGCCATAAGACTGTACAACGCATCCACCTTGCGTCTGGGCAGAGGCAACATTGACAGTGACCTGTTCTGGACTGAACAGTAAACTGATGCATCTGTTCTTTTTCTTTTTCTGTTTTAAACCCGTTTTTTTTGCAATATATGCCAGGGACCTGTGCAATACATTTATATTTATTTATAGTCATATTGTGCAATACGACTTTTTTGTGTACTGTTCTTTTCTGGTTTTGTTCTGTTCTTTGTGTGTTCTGGACTGCGAGTAACTCTTCTACTGATTGTATTGTATGTATTGTATTATTATTATTGTATCATTCATTACACTGTGTCTGTGTTGTCCGTGTTAAGCTGCTGTTGCACTGCAATTTCCCTCACAGGATCAATAAAGTATCTATCTAAGTTAACATTTTTTTGCATTAATAACAGCCCTTAAAGCAGTTAGGCTACTGTTCGGGTATTGTACCTGTAGTATTAGCAGCATCTGGATGATGGAGGGTGGCACTCTGGCACGTGGCCGGGAGATGGCATCTTCAAGTTTTATATTGAGGGTGATGATGTTTCTGAAGTGAAGCAGAGCTAACTGGCGAACCGAGGGCTCCTTTCCCTACACAAAAAGTACACAACACAATGCAACTTCTTTCCAAGAAAAAATTAAGGACATACTGTTGTGTAAATTGTGAACTCAAAAAGTATTACTTTTACTCTTCCATGACCATATTTCTACCTTATGTTTTTGTCCTTTCTTCGTTTTTTGTAGTTTACAGCTGAATAATAATATAACATGAACAATACATGCTCTATATATTTTGTCGTAATTACTATTAAAAATCAGTATAACATGTTTTTAAAAGTTTAGACAACAATTTTAAACCAAAATTTCAGATGACCACAGCAAGTGTCTAAGGTTTGTCCAAAATGAAAACAGAGATATACATATATAAATATATGTTATATTTATGTATTTATATATAGGTAAGTAATACATTCAACCTTGTAAATGTTTTATCTCAGCCTGGTTGAACATATTTTATAACACAGTTTTAGTTTTCAGTTAAATTGCAACAATTCATATGGGACCCAAAACATTAAAAATGAATATATTTACAACAGTGTTTTGTGTTTTTAATGAGTCTTATAAAAGTGTTTTAGTATGTGCCTCCTTGAAATTGAGAGTGCTGCTAAACAGAATTACTGTATAAAGAAGGAAAATCCAGTAAAGATTTTAGACATTGCCCTACATTCTCTCAAATCTATCAGTCATGTTGGTGATCACTGATTAACCAAAAAGAAGGAAGGCTAAGAACTAAATTGAAGAATTGAAGTGTAAAACTTTTCAAATGCATTACTTATTTGCTATTTTCAACACAGTAATAGAAGAAATAACATTGTAAACCACCTGAACGGGATAGAAAATAGCCTGAAGCATAGAGAGGACATCACAGAAGAAGAAGTCCCACGTCTCAGCCAAAGAGTCCAGTAACTTCTGACCTATGAAAATTGTACAAAAAAAAAACAAAAAAAACATCATTGGTGATAAATTTTCCACTGAATATATAGAATGATCTGTATATACTCTGAATTATATACAATTTTTAAAATATTAATATTAATATAAATAGTAATGAGAATGATAATGGGGATTATGTATACAATTCTCTTCACATTTACATTATGAAATACTTTTGTAACTGTACTTATGAGTTTGCACTTGATTGAGATAATTGAACTTAACACATGTGAAGACATTATTGTGTGTAATGTACTCTCACCCTTGTCAGAAAGATGAGGAGCAATGGCAATATGGTGATATATGGAGAAATCTATTTTTAGAAAAAAAGATCTGAAGAGAAAATGGAGAAAAAAAACCTTATAGCTTATAAAACCTTTTGAACCAAAGGTTTTGCTGCTGGTTTCAAGCAAGTGTGTATTTTAGGGCAGGATGATGCAAGACAGCACAGTGCTGCTATTACACTGCCAGCTTTTTAATCTGACGTGAGTCCAGTAGAACACCTGTGGGTTAATATTTTTGTTCTTTCCAGGTACAGTATGTTAACTTTTTACTCATAGTTTTTGAAACTTAGAATGTAGTATATTGGCAATGTCTGTCTTATAGTGTATCAAAACATATACTGTAAATGAAAAAACATTATATATTTATAAGAACATATGAAATAACTGCAAAAGAGGAGGTCATTAATCCTATCTTACTCATTCGGTAGTTAAGAAGCTACTGTAAGTGAATCCAAACCTGCATCTAGCCATTTCTTAACAGTGCCTAGAATTCAGTCATCAACCACATGGTTACCCACCACTCATGTGAGTTTTTCCAATTATTTTTCTGTTCTAACTGAATTACCCTTAAAGTTTCAAATGTGACTCTGTGTACTTTTTAGACTACTGAGTGATCCTTACTCAGTTCAGTTCCTTATCTATACCCCTTAGGATTGTATATTCATGTACCTGGATCAGATTTCAATCTCCTCTTTCCTAGACTGAATAGATCAAGCTACAGGGTATACTAACTGAGGTATTTTTAGTACATTGTAATGCTTAAGCATAACTGGATTAAAAATCCAAACCTTTTGCTATATACAAAAGCATTCTGTTTGCTCTTTTATTGCTTCACCACATTGTCTTTATAAGGACATAGAAGAACTTATCCAAATACCCAGATACCCTTTCTACTTATAACTTTCTATAACTCAGAAGCGCCTGTGTGATATGAATGGTCATGTTCCTACTACCGATGTGCATCACTTTGCGCTTAGCACTGTTGAATTTAATTTGACAAATTTCAGCCCAATCCATGTCTTTTTCGATCTCCATTGTCACCCTTTATATGTTTGTTGTGCCCCCAAATTATCAGCAAATTTAAGTAGATTCCTATTTTCTATGTTTACCTGAATAACTGATATAGATCAGGAACAGTTACAGGGCTAAAATGGATCCATGTGGCATATCACTACTCACATCTGTCCATATGCTACTTACAATAATACGCTGCTTCCTGTGTGTACATGTGCATACATTATCTTGGATTCTTATGGCTTATGGATTTGAGAACCTTTTATGAGAGATCTTATTAAAAGCTTTCTAAAAATCTATATATTTCTATATGCTTTATCATTATCTATCTCCTTGTTGCTTGTTCAGCAAGAATTCTAGCAAGTTAAGCAAGACCTTTCATTTCTAAATCCAACTGGGCTTCTAATTTAGTTCTACCCATCATTTCCATACCTTTATCCATAACAGAAGCAAGATCAATTGAACTGTAAATATCTGGATCAATTTTATGATGGACTAATGTTACATTTGTGATTTTCTCATCTGTGGGTCCCATTCTAAGTGAGAGCAGAAATATTCTGCCTAGCGGTCTATGAATGATATCCCTCATGTCCTTAAGTATCACACATAAAATATAATCAGGCCCTGACAATGCACAAGTTTTTAACTGTCCTAGAACCTCAGTATCAGTTATGCTAAAATGTTCTGGTGCAGCCCGATCTATAATATAATTATAATGGCTACATGGACACACAGTTTTCACTGTATTCAGCATAACCACACTACCTGTATATATTGCATACACCATGGACATAGGACATAGTAGCTCTACTCATATTAAGTTTATTCTGTTTCTATTACATCTATTATTATGTAACCTTATTTTCATAACCTCAATTTTGTGATTTCTGTTATTCCTGTTATTCCTGTGATTTTTGTGAGCTTGCAGAACAGACATTTCATTGTCGGCAACTAATGCTGCACGCTGTATTGTTGTGCATTTAATAAATAAACTTTGATTTGATTTGATTTGACTTAATATGGAACATGTTATTGATGCCTTGTATTGTAAACACCCGTTTGAAATATTCATTATCTTCTAATATGTAGTTCCTTTTATCTCACAAACTCATTATTTCCATTTTTGTAGTTGTTATTCCACTGTTGTAGTCTCTGCACTTAAGTTCTCATTTCCTTATGATTTTTCCCCAGTATCTCAATTAAACCAATTTCACTGTATTATCATTACTTTGACTTAATTGTTTTAGGAATGAATTTGTTTAGAGCCTTTAAAATTATGTTTAAATGCAGTATAACCATCCTTTTCAATTTTCTCTATTCCATCCATCACAATTTCAGCTTCTGTATTCCCCATAACAATATTCCAATTTATGTTTGGAAAATTGAAATCTCCAAGCAATGTAATGTAACCTTTGCTACATACCTTTCTGATCTCATCATATATGCCCTACCTGCTTTAGGTGGGCTAACTCATACAACTATTGATAAGCCCTTTGAAATTGCATATTTCAGTTTAATGCATATACATTCTAACGTGCCTGCAGCCTCTTGCTTCAGTTCAATGGCTTAAAGATTATTTTTGATAAAATGCAGCCATTCAAAATGCACGGTAAAACCCCGTACCACGAAAAAGTATCTACAGTTTAGCATGTTATACCGCAGTACGTGATTGGCTGGCCAAAATGACTGAAAGGCGGCACTCGTGTTGCATTGGTAGTTAGTGAAATGATTGCTTCATTTAATCTTTACTGTCCATGTTTAAGTCCGCTTAATATTGAATATTAATATGGAATTTTAAAACTAAAGGGAAATTTTGGTAGCTGCGCATAAAAAGAAGAGGAGCATAACGTGTCTGAAGGTCATAAATTAAATTAATTTAGGAATATAAACATATTATGTAAACTGTATATGGCTGGTATTGGTATTGGTAGTTTAAATAAAAAATACACACCAGTATTCCACTTTCTTCATAAACATTTTAAGCATCAGAGTCTTTAAGTTATATTAAAAATGAAATAAAAACATGAATTAGCAAACATAAATACTGTCAACTATTCAGCCGCTTTAATTCAAAACACTTTATTTAGTGGGGCAATTTAACAGACACCTCAAGCCTTAAAATGGAATCGTATATATTGTAATTAGAATCGAGAATAACAAAGCGGTATTAAAAATACAACTGAAATTATAAAAATGTATCTGCTTGTTATTAAAAGTATTAATTTAATAATAAAAATTTCAATCTTCTTGTATCTTTTTCAGTCACTTTTTCTCTTTGGTTTTCATAAGCTTCGCTTATTAAAATGCCTATTTATAAGACACGATGTTTCAGATATCAATAACTTTGTGAACAAATGACACAGAGCCTGCAACCTACAGGTTTAAAGATTGCAATCTGTGAAAAATGTCACAGCTTTTATTTAAACAATATCTAGTACCTGGTTGCATTTTTAGAAACCTTAGTCTGAATAAAGGTAATCCCAGGTGCAAGTGACTTCATAACGCGCGAAGGCATTATACTATATTTTTTATGCATCAGTTGAAGTCTTCTGAAGTCTCTAAAAAACATAAAAATGTAACATAATATTGTGTGGCACGATGGGCAATCAATTTTTTAATTTTAAAGAAAATAAAAAATAAGTAAAAATAAACCATTTGCCTCAAACAGACATTGCATGATTTTAAAACCCATACAAAACATGTTTAGTTAAAAACACAAAATCCACAAAAATTGGTGATTTTCCTTGTGATCAGCTTAGAATCTTTGTGTAAACTGTACTTTTTAACAACTTTTTTATTAAACATTTTAAACACTTTAATTTTGTAAACACAAGACACATTTTGTACAGATACAGTACAATCACATTCTCCTGTCTTCCCATGGTGTGAAGCAATTTAGCAGGTAGCTGAGAAAATAGCGTATCGCCCACTAAGTTCAGTCAGAGAAGAGGCGTCGCCGTAGGGAGACCGTTCTGCAGCATGCAGTGTTTATTGCACTGAGCATGTCTGCCTTTAAAACTTAATAATAAAAAAGCCAGTTTCCCGCATTGTCATGTCGTACCAGGGGGGAAGGAAAAGTGCCCGCGGTCATTATTTTTACTGACACTACTACTTGATCACTAACATGATGGAATTAATCTTGGTCTTGCTCATGTATCATTGCCACTCATTTTGTAGTGATTCAAAGGCAATTTCAAACACCAAATTGGACTGAAGAAAACCATTTTTGAAACCCAGCACAGATTTACAATCTGTTTAAATGCAATTATTAAATATACTCCAATACCATAGGCAATCACCTCAACAATCCACCACGTTGCCATTCCATGTTTGGAATGAACACAGATATCTTTGCCTGTGCTGGGATTTGGGTTCTAAGCATGAACACTGCTGTGGCAGAGTTTTACACTGCCTAGATTTTCAGAAGAGGGCTATGTCACTTCTGTAACTAACTGGCTTAGTCTATGAGCCCTGTTACGCATTTCCTTTTGTAAGCAGTTTATATCTCTCGACATAAAAATACCCCAGAAACCTGTTGGTCATGGTTAACTCAGACTACAGTACAATATGTCAATGCTGAAAACGCACTGTTAACTGCTAGAAATGTTAAGTTATTATCATTTGTACATATCTGAAGAGCTATGTCCATATTTTTGTTTAAGATGAAAGAAGATAAATGTTGCTACAGGTTTAAGATAAATGAAACCCACAATGACTTCAATTATTCATTTTTGCATGCAATACTAAATTAGTTCTAAGTAGATACTTTCTTAGATAAAAACAAAAAGCACTTTGCAGATTAGGTAACTCATCATAGGTGATGTGGTTTGCCACGCCAGCACACAATATGCAAACAAATGCATGCTGCATTCATGCAGGAGGCTCCCCAAGAAACCACATGCATAAAAAGACACCTCTTAATACATGATATCCAAAACCCATTGAGTAAACAGGCAATAGAATAAAAAAGTAATTTTAAAAAGCTGGGAATCTGATTTGTCTATTATCTGAACCTGTAGTCAGAATTCAGAAACTCATGCACATCTCTGCAAGTCTAATTTCTGAAAACAAGTGAGGTTTCATTGAGTTTTTGTGGACTGTAGACTACTAATATCAGTTTTACACCTACATATGTTGTGAACAATATGACGTGTGTTGAAAATGTGATGTGAGATAAAGGTTGTCCCATTAGGTATGGTGACCTAATAACCATGTGTTACACACGGAAAGCCATCTCTTTAATAAAGTCAGCATCAAGAAATAAATACTGCATTGTGGTTAATAGAGCTCCAAGTGCATATAAAGTCATTCACAATAAAAAGAAATTTCAAATTATCTGGTCTTGCAGTAAACTCAAGGAAAACTCATCCAGTAACTAAAATAATACTGCAACTAAAATATCACCCACCCACCAACAGAAAATTTCAAATGCGTCACTAGATCGTCTCACTTTAATCAAAACCTCAGTAAAAATACAGATTAGCAAATTGTTTGCAAATTAATGTACCTGCTAAACTTCCAATTTAGGATATTGAAAAAAATGAAAAAAGTTTAATTACTGGGTCTTCAAGAAACAACAGATTACATACAGGATGTTTAATGTCACAGAGCAGCTCTAACAATAGAAGAGTCTGAAGCACTGGAATAGAAAACGTTTTTTTTACCCCATTTGTTCTCAGATCATTTGAGATATTTTGGTCACAGTTGGTCTTGGCCACTGTGTTCTTCTGAATAAGATCTTTTTGTGGAGGGAAGTACCTTAAAATTAAAATATTCAAGAATAGCCCATATTTAATGCCTCACAAGGCTTTATAGAAGGACTTCACAAAACCTAATTGACCCCACAATCTACCACAAGAGTATTGTGTAAATGAAAAATCCTTTTGTACATTATAAAATGACCATTCTTGATCTGTTTCAGAACATTATCAGTAGCATATTATTAAAGACCAAGAAGGAAAAAAAAAAGAACTGAAAATGGGAACCAAACACTTCAAATGATCTGCATTTTGGGTTTGACCCATATTATGTATCCAACATTACAAAGCCTATACATTTGCATTTGTAAAACATAAAAGATTTAAAAGGCTCTGCAAAGCCTTTGGCTTTCCAGCCCTACAACCAGTGGTTACTAAAACCCTGCCCCATTGAACTGACAGTTACCTCAAAGCCCAAGAACTAATTTACAGGAACCTCAACAATGTGTTTTGTACTAGTACTAGTGAAATACAACCCAGCCACAAGAACAAATGTGACAATAGTGCAGAGCAGTGGTTAGGGTTCAGGATTCTTAGCTGAAAGGTTGTGGGCTCACATTCCAGTTGATACTGCTATTGTGTTCTTTCTGCCCTTAAAGGTACTTCACCCAGATTACTACAGTAAAACACTCAGCTGTATAAATGGGTGCAAATTTAAGTTGCTTTGGATAAAAAACATCAGGCAAGTAAATTAATAATAATAAATGTAGTAATTTCTGCAAAAGAATTGTGATCTATGAGTATTTTAAGAAGGATTCTAAGAAAAATTGTGTGATGATTTATTAAGCCACATTTCACACTAGTATTTGGGAAAAGAACTCTGTATTTTTTCAAAGATGCAATATTTTTTTAGTTTTTTTCTTTCTTCAGTGCCGTAACTGTTTTTAGAAATGTGGGAAAAGCAATATCAACTTTTGTTTATTGTTATGGTTGCCCAAAGCCAAAGTGTTCCAGCTCCATTCAATATAAATTTCACAGACTAAACATAAGTCCTGAAGAACAGGATGAGGGCTCCCATAAAGCAAATAAACAAGAAAATACATAATGAAGTATTAAAGGAATATATTATTTGTTACAGCAATTATTATTGTACTTATTAAATTATTCGTCTTTATTAAATAATTCACAGTAAAGATCTAAACAGTGTAGTATAGATGTAGCATTTCTAAAGTGATGAGACTGAAAACTGAATGAATGAATAAAAAACTTTTGCACCTACCTTCATAGAACCTTATTTTGTCCCTTAATATAACCATGCCTTTTGTAAGCAACTGATTCTGAAGAGAAATGTAGAAAGAAACAGCTTAAATGAATTACATGTACAGTACATTAGTGAACTGTGTACTTCACTATTAATATTTACACTTTCAGAAAATCATTAAAATGTATACCAATTACTTTTAAAATTAAGATTTCTTTTATTTTACAATAATTGTTCTAACCACAATGTAGGTTCTAAAAAAATGTTATTTACCTGGAGGTATTCAGTGAAAAATGATCCCAGTTCTGTTTTTAACAACCGCCTGAAAAACATTAAAAAGTGTGGTGCATTAACAATGATTTAAATACCTTTGAAGAAAAATGGTAAAGTCAAAACATTACAATATAAGAAAGGGTAATAACATTTCTAATAATAATCCTTTAATGCATGAAAGATATGCAAATATTTTAATCTTGAGAGTGTGTAACAACCCAAGTGCAGGCTTCGAAATATATATTTATTTTTCTGTGCTGCAAAAGTTCAACATACTTTATGATCTAGATCCTATCAGGTACTGTAGTTACAGAAAAAAAAAGCCAAATTGAACAGGCCACAAGTCTGATAGGACGTGTCAAATTAAGACAGTGAACAAAGATATTTTTAGGAAATATACTTGTCATAATGTCTATTACAAACTTGATATATTTGAGATTTTCACTATACACTATACTATCTATACTATAGCTGTTGGAAAAAAAACACGGTAAACTGATAAATCAGCCCTAGCACCACACAGATGAGGAGGAAATGTGAATACTGGTTTCAGAATATTTTATTCTCTGCTGGATTAATCTTTGTGTGTTTTTGACATGCATATCTATGTTCTTTTTCACACAAATCACTTTTTCACACAGGGCCATGGAGGTTTGGATTTTTTTTCCTTAATAATAAAAACCTTCATTTAAAAACTGCATTTTGTGTTATCTTTGTCTAATATTTCAATTTGTTTGATGATCTGAAACATTTCAGTGTGACAAACATGCAAAGAAATAAGAAATCAGGAAGGGGGCAAACACTTTTTCACACCACTGTAGATGCAAAATGAAAACATACCACAGCAGGACAGCTTGAAAGACTGAAGAGCAATAATTCAAGTTTCTGTATTTATGTTCAGATAATATGGCCAGATTTAACAACAAAAATAACATTCCATAAAACTAACACAAATACATTTGGACATTTTCTGTTATTTAATAATGAGCTAAAATAAATCTAAGCTAAGCAGGTGTGAGCCTGGCTAGTAACTGGATGTGAGACCTCCTGGAAAAGCTAAGGTTGCTGCTAGAAGAGGTGTTAGTGGGACCAATAGGGTGCAGTATACTGTACAAATATCCATCCTTTGGATGAGACATGAATCCGAGGTCCTGTCTCTCTGTGGTCATTAAAACATCCCAGGGCATTTCTCAAAAAGAGTAGGGGTGTTACCCTGGCATCCTGGCCAAACATCAATTGGACTTTACCAATCAAGGCCTCCTAAAAATCCCTATCTATGAATTGGCTTCATCCCTCTGTTCTTCTCCCCACTGATAGCTAGTGTATGGTGAGGCACTATGGCTGCTGTCACATCATCCAGGTGGTGGTGGAGGGGAATCCCAATTACCTGTAAAGGTTCTTGAGTGGAGTGTCCAGTAAAGAGCTATATAAGTGTAAGCAATTAATCTTATTTATTTATTAGTCTTATCTTATTCTTGATTACTGCAATTTGTGAGATTTACATTGGTTTAAATTTTTTATTGTTCTGTAAAAAGCCATAAAACACTCTAAATTCAACTGAATTTTCCAGTGACACAGGAAAAAAAAAAACTTTTGACTATGAGGTTTTATCCATTTCAACAGGCATAGAACCATCTGAGTGATCATTAAAAGTAATCATCCATTATCCATTTTTTATATAATTAATATATTAATTTTGTAAAAGTATATTGTCTGCAAGTATATACATAGTTGTCTTTAAAGCAGTAATTAACATGCTCTTTATCATCAGTACTCTCAATCTATAACACAATGCTAATAATCACTAATGCAACAAATAAGGAAAATGCTAAATATTTTACAACATACTGTTTATACAGTACAATGTTTACTGTAAATATTCGACACATACAGATGCAGCCATTCGAAATGCACAGTACAACCCCGTGCCGTGCAATATTATCTACAGTTGATTGACTGGCCAAAATGACCGACAGGGACACTCGTGGTTCATCGGTTGTTAGTGAAACTATTTAATAATTTAATCTCTTTACTTTGCATGTTTTAATCCTCTTAATATTGAATATATCTATATGGAATTTTACAACTTAAGGGAAATCATGAGATTCTTATCCAATCTAAGGTCTGATGTTTCTTTTATTTCAAAACCATGATCTTGACATGCAGCTGTGAAGTAGAGTTTACTTTTACTGTAAAACTGTAGAAATAACCCTTCTTCCCTTCTTCACGAAGAAATCCTTAATCACAAAACCATCACTTAATTTATCCAGATACACAAATTCACACCAGAGCCAACAACAAGCTATAATAGTGGACTATTTTTATGTATTCACTATATAAGAAACAAACTGAAAGTAATACTCTGATCGCGCTTTGAACAATTGGGTGCAGTGCTTTGTCCATTACCACTACAAGTACAAAAAAAGTTTTTTAAAAAGAAAGGGATGTCAAAATGTTTCTTAAATGTCCATCTGTAATATTTTAGCTGCTTAGTTACACAATTCCATATTCATATAACTATCAAGTGATGTTAAATCACTACAACATTTATCTTTTTACAATAACAGCAAGTGGTTATCTTACTACGTATTCTTAGAAAATGATAAACAATATAACTTTTTATGAAGTACACAATGTAAGCTTAATAATGTTAGAACAAGCACGTTAAAACCAAAACCCACTGAGTTACCAAGTAAAAGACTTAGATGAATAAAATATGTATAAATAATTAAATTATTAATGATGAAGGTGGAATGTTGTGGACTTTTGTCCAACTGAGCAATCTTGCTTTTATAAAATATACCTACATTTAAATGTTTAATGATAAACATGCTGTAATACACAGTTTAAAATTATTAATAGTCTAAAGAGTATACAACTTAAATTCTTAATTGGAAAAGATTGTCCCTCAGCAGTGACCAGGATTCAAAAACGGGCATTTCTGGCAACAGCTCAAATGATGCACATGAGATGTTAAGCTTTATTAGCTCCACCTGGTAGTTTTACAAGGTGCTTCCAGATACTATTATCATAATTTAATTTGCATGCGGTATGATGCAGTAAAATGCGCCACACCTACCGTGTTTTAACGTACTCCGCACATTTTGAATGGCTGGATCTGTATGCTGGCCAACATAGCCAACCAATCCTGGCAAAATGTCTACAGATCTGTGGGAATTATGATCCTCTGTAGTTAATAATAATTATTATAATTGCTTACACTTATCTAGCGCTTTTCTGGACACTCCACTCAAAGTGCTTTACAGGTAATGGGGACTCCCCTCCACCACCATCGATGTGCAGCATCCACCTGGATGATGCAACGACAGCCATAGTGCGCCAAAACGCTCACCACACATCAGCTATTAATGGGGAGGAGAGCAGAGTAATGAAGCCAATTCATAGATGGGGATTATTAGGAGGCCATGATTGGTAAGGGCCAATGGGAAATTGGTTACACCCCTACTCTTTTCGAGAAACACCCTGCTGAGCTTCAGTGGGTTGCCAGTTGTGAATTGCAGGGTGATATGGCTGCTGGCTGCTGGAGGAGTAGTCAAAACCAGATGGTGAATTCTGCATTTGCTGACTGCTTGAACACCAGATTTTACATTTATTAGCTTTTAATTTCTTATATTAGAGGTTGCATAATTTTGTATCTTCACTGGTTTGCATTAATTAGAATATATCAGAATTAGAATTAAGTGTTAATCAATTTTATTTTTTTCTATTTTTTTTTCTAATATTTGTGTTTCTTGTTAAATCATTTAACATGCTGTCTCAAATATTAAAGATTTTCCTTTATTAAAAATGTAGTATGTAACATACTGGAGTTGCAATGAATGATTGAAGAACATAATCTAGGTCAATATTTATTTTGTTCCTAAAATGCATTTTTAACCATTGAATTAACATGTATTATTACTCTATAATTATTTTGCAATTATAAGTGAAATAAATATACTTAGGTAAAATGTATACTTGCATTTTATATTAGTTTGTGAAAAATATATATTTAAAAGATTGTAAAATAATTTTATATTTTTCATCTATGTTCCATTTAAAAGAAAAATGTTGGGGAAAATTATATTGAATATACAGGAACATAACATATATATAATTATATATATATAACTTTACAAGCTTAAGTATTTTTTTACAACTGAAAGAAAACCCATGTTTCTCTTTATTTGTGTTCATTCCATGAAAAAGCTGTGAGTTCCCATTTGTAAAACTTATTAAAATAAGCATAATAATTATAACAAAATGAAAAGAAATGTAATTATGTCCATGAATCAATAAAATGCTTATTTTATATGTTATGGACTGAAAACATGTAAAACTGGAGGTAGTCCTTTTAATTTAATCAAACAATTATGCAGGCTCAAAATCTATTGAATATGAAAAATACAATAAACAATAACACCAAACATTAAAGAAAGGATGTGACATAAACTCCAGGACACAAAACTTCTTACATTAATGTGAACAGTGGTACAGCATTTTACCATTGTTTTAAATGTTACACTACTCATGTGAAAACTGTGAACAATATGCTAGTGTCTTCTAGGCTTGACTACCGTATGCACTCCAGTTACTTGTTTGTGTGGGTGTCTGTATGTGCAAATGTTTGTGACAGAGAAGGTTCTTTATGTTCTTATCCTATAAATGGATAGCTTGGGTGTGGATGTTGTTTTTTTCTCTTCTTCTGCTGTCTCCAAACCCAGCAACTTAATCTGTCAACAGGTTCCATCTGCCCAAACATATAATGACTATATAATTAACCAAGTTAAGTACTCTGCTAGTAAAACCATACTGCTAAAATGAAACACAACAATGCAGGATTTGCTAACAAGTGCTAAAGCATGCTAGGCAAGGTCAGTAAGGCACTAATGCAATGCGATTACAAAGGCCTGACAATGGGATTTATAATGGCCGCAATGGACTAGTGACCCTCTAGGCCTGGGGTTCTTAACCTGGGGGTCACGTAGTTCCAGGGGGGTTGCACAATAGGCAACAGAGACAGGATCAACCAAAGGTTAGCACACACAC